GTACAATTTATGAAGCATGTAAAATAAGTATTTTAAAACAGAAAAACATCTAAAAAATTTTTTGATTCATTTCCTATAAATGAATGACACTTTTTAAAATAAATTTTAAATGTTACAGTTAGTTTACTTCAATATTTTTCATCACTTTTCAATTAAAAGTCTGAAAGTATACCAAAAGACTGACATGACTCAGTTACTGTGCATTTGTTACCAGAGAAACTGTGTGTCTAATTGTAAAATTGAGAAATCAGCATATTTGAGCTAAATTTTCCAATGAGACAGAATGACTGTTTACACACATATTCATTAATACTACATACTTTGTAAAATTATTTATCTGTCATAGTATTGCATAAGAATACTTTTTCAATTTGGTAAATTTACACACTATATTCTCATTAATCAATTGTTAGTTTAATATATTTTATTCATTCTGATATTTTGTTAATATAAATAATAATAATAATCTTTTCCTGAATGTTCTCAAAGGCATTGAGATTTCAAAGTTAAATATATGTGAAAAAGTGATCTGTTTAACTAAATTATTTATAATTAAGTCTAATTAAATTATTTAACATTGTAATATACCTGAAGACATTAATGTGTATAACTCATTTCAAATTAATTTAAATTAATTTTTAGACTTTTTTTAATATTGAAGAATGATATTAAACATTGAATATATGTGAAGAATTATATGTAGATTACTTATAAATATGAAGATCATCACTAGTAAATTCATTTAAAATCCTACAACAAAAACATGTTGAACTGTTGATACTATTTGCCAGCAAAATAAATAAGGCGAATTGCCAAAGTAAAATGATAGATTGAAAAATTGTTTACAGTTTCGAATATGTGCACAACAATGCAAATATTTTCCTCAAAGAATGCCTTTGAGTAAGTCCATGTAGAAGTGCTAGTGGCAGGTCAATAATCTCACTTGCAATTTTATTTACTGTAAATGCTTTTTTTTCCTTTAATATTAATCTCTCTTTTAGAGAAACTAATTACCAGAATTATTTTCATTCTACAAACAAATAAAAAATTGCCAATAGTTTATTCCTTAGTATGCTGTATAAGATTCTTAAAGGAAAGTATCTTGGGAAGCAGAGGGTTCTTCAAGTATAACAATCTGCCACAAAGTTACTCAAGAAATGTTTGTAATTTTACCTAGAATAATCTTTTAATGATTTTTAATGACACTTATTAGTACAACTGCCCAGATGGTCAGATGACTGAGGCAGTTAAGATCTAAGCTTGCTGCTTTCAGTACCTGGAATTGAATCCAGGTAAGCAAATCCTCAAGAATTTTTCATAGGTGGTCCATTCTGGACATATGGGTCCAACTTCTCACTCCCAACTTGACCATTCTTTATCTGACTGAAATCACAATGTGTATGGAAAAAAAGGTTATGTTAGTGTCTGCAGGATAAAGAGAGTTTTAAAAAATGTACAACTGCCATCAATACATCTATTTTAGAAACTCCACTATCAATTAATATCCCACCATACAGATCTTTGAATTATTGATTATTAATCAAAAATCATAGCATATAGAATTGTATAAGCTGCAAAATTTCTGTAACAGCTTTCTGCATCATTAAGAAAAAAAAACAAGACTATAATCATTTTACATTCTGCCATATTAAGAAGTCATCTTGACATAAAATGCGACAATGTTTTCTTGTTTACATCTTGGGTGAATATCAATAATAAAGGTGGCCAGGAATCCATTTATTCTACTTGTGGATGGAATGTAGTTATGAATGGAATTAGAGAGCAGGTAGTGATCACATAACTAAAAAAATCTTTGCATTTACAGAATTTCAGAGGACGTCACCCTATTTGTATAAGTCATAGATAAAAAAAAGGAAGGCCACAATTTAATGGTAAACAGCAAATTCCAAATTTTACCAGTATATATCAGTCCTGATTATATTGGTCTAGGTGAAGGGTGGACAATTTTCTTAAGTGTGTGTGCCAAATCTAGGATGCAAAATTTTCTCATGTGCCAACCAAAATTTTGGGAGGATATTATTATTTGGTCTAGCAGCTAGACAATGTTATGGGAAAACTAGTTTTAGCAGTTTTTCAACTAAATTGGCAACCTGCTTGCAAGTCACAGAGATAGATGTCTTGGAAATAGGATATCTCTCTCATTTTCTTATTACTTATTATTAAAACAGTTGATAGCATTTGTTTCTTTATTGTATTTTTATTTAGTATTGTACTATTCAATAAAATTGTATTCTATTAAGTTAAAATATAAAACTGAGCAAAGACGTTGGATATTTATTTTTTTACAGTGAGACTTGGGTTGTACTGGAAAAAGTCGTTGGCAAGCCATATTTGAATAAACACACCCACACCAAAAATATCCAGCAATAAGATACTTTGCTAAATAAAAAACAAATGTTTTTGATGTTTTTAAACAATCACTTCAAGTTAGAATGCAATTGAATGTACATACAAAGTAAAATATCAATTTAAAAGAAATAGTACAATTATTCCATTGGTGGAGCACTTGTGTGTCAACAAGAATGTCAACAAGATTTTATAAAATTTAAAATTAAAATTTATCTGTAAGAGTATTAAAAAGAAAGACTTCTATACATTAGGAAAGGTCTCTGCATCTCTTATTTATTATGGCATTCTGAGTAGTCTATACATTTCCAATCTCTCCAAATTTTTTCAGAATGGCCCAGTCCCTAATCAGATATAAGATATGGGCTTCATTGAAAGATACTGTACATAATTTTCAGTCACAAATGCCACCAGACAGTGACTGGTAATTATTTTTGGATGGAATAAAAATGCTCCTTAAAAATATCACAACAAACACAAAAATCCAGCAAAACTATGCCATTTCTTAATAATGACTATATGGATGGGTTTCTTTTGTAAGAAATACTGATTTGGTTGTTCCGACAATTTATTTGTAAATCTTAGAGAGATGTTGGTTATATCTGATAACCTTGTGAGTTTTACATTCATCTTTCTTATATGTGAAATGGAACTGATACTTATGGATGAGATTTTTGACAAGGCTTAATGGATGTTGTTTTTGACAAGTTTGGATATTCATGCTGTTTTACAACATCAATGATGTAATTTAATTTGATATCTCTGTCCTTGTGTTGGATTCATTCTTCCAACATAAGGACAGAGATGTCACATTACATTACATTACTGATGTTGCAAAACAACATGGTATTCATCAAGCCTTGTCAAAAATTTTTTTGAAGTACCGGACATATTTCTGGAAAATCCTGGAACATGGGACATTTCAGTGTCCTGACAAAAACTGTCAGGACAACAGGACAGAGGAGAAAAATATGAATTGATTCTGTACAATATGGGATGGCTTGTCCCTTTATATAAAAGCTAGCAATCATGCAGTGAAAAGTAATTATGCTAGAAATTTCATATTGATTCTTCATAAACTTTAATAAAAATAAGTATAAATAAAATTTTATTTGTTATATGCAAACAAAAAGTATACAAGATTTATTATTTAAATTTGTTAGTTTCAGAATAATTTATTAAAAATCTTTCAAAATTATTGTATTCATTATACATAATAAAACATCAATGAAAGTAAATAAATTTTAATTAAAACATTGTTTTCTTGTTATTTACAAGGGATCTTTGAAAATGCATTCTTTCTTGTCTATTATCCATTTCAATAAATTACTCAACTTGATTTTTTAAAATTTAAGTAGTTAATTTATTTTCCAAATGCTCTTTAAATGTATAACTCTTTAAAATCTAACCATAAAGACACTGGCTAGACCTTTATGAATCTTTATTTAAAAATATTTTTATTTTCATATGATTTAAAACCTTAATATCCAAGAAAGAATTAATCATGGTTATAGCCAAAGTTGTCATAAATATATTTTAGTTTGTTCTGAACTAATAAATTTTCATTTCTGATTGTATAAGAAATGAAAAATTTACTATCATATAACTAAATTAATTAATGAATTTATTTATAAATATAAATTTAATAGTTATATTTGGAATATTTATAATATACTAAAATTTCACACATAAGCTTTTCTTGATTTTATTAAAATACTTATTAAATTAACTATTTATTCACAGAAATTTTATCCTTGCTCAACAGTATAATCAAACTCCATTATCATATCATCAACATATGTGAAATCTGTGTTATTGTGAAGTAGATTTGTGGTCCTCTGGATGAGATAGAATAGACAGTTCAACATTAACAAGTTTCATTAATACAATGTGTCATTTTGAAGTCCCTTTGACTTTGTATTAACAGGGTTTCACTGTATAATAATATGAAAGAAACTATATACAAATTATTGATTATGTAATAAAAAGACAATTAGTCAAAAATAACACATATTTTGGAAAATATTTTCAGTAATATGTACATTTTAGTTTATAAAATAATTTTTCAGAATAGAGAATTTATTTTCATTTTATAAACTTTTTTAAAAAAAGAGGCACAGCATGATTTGATAAAATAGTTTAAATTATCCTAAATATATTTGAAAATGTAGTAGTATCAGTTAAGTATTTGTATGATCCAATATATAAATAAAAATTTTTAATATTGCTATTTAATAAACATAATGATAAAATAGCTTTTGGCAGAGTATAAGTATGATTTGACAATGGACAACAGTCTGTATTCATTTGCAGGTGGTTCCCCCAGTTTTTTTAAATTAAAATGATTTGATATGTAATTTAGAGTTCAGACATATATTTAAAATAATAAAATAAATACTTTTTTATATTTTTTTGTGATTACATTTAAGCAATTGATTATATCTTAAAATAAATAAGACAAACAAGACCCTATATTATAAATTTTAGAAATTATTTCCTAAACTAAATATAACTAATAATTTACATTTACATTGCACAACTTTCTAAAAAATAAAAAAAATTGATTTATTCTGAAATTAATTAAACTATTAATTTTAAAATTATCTTCTAAGTATAAATATATTATAATTTACCTTCATAAATATGAATGATATGAGGATGTTGAATTGATGACATTATTTGGATTTCTCTTCTTATTCTTATTAAATCTTGCTCACTTTCAATTTTAGATTTTTTTATTGTTTTAATTGCAACCTAAAAAATTGATAATTAAGCATTAATTATTTTATATTATAATACTGCTACTTTTAATTTTGTAGAAAAGTCATATTTTATAAATATAGGAGCTATTTATCAAAGAAAAACTCTTTGATAAATAAAATGCTTTAAAATAATTCTTATATATAGATTTTATAATTAAATAATTTCAATGTTCATTTAATGAAATGTTTTTTGTTTTTTTGCTTCTCTTCACTAGTGATGAAAATGGCACTTTTAACAAACAATAAAACAGATTTTTGCAGTGATGCTATTTTTGAATTTATAACATTCATAGAAATGTATGCATTTGTTACATTTCAATTTAGCTCAATTTATAAGAATAATGAAGTTATTGCTGTGAACAACTATGATAAACTTTTATGTAAAAATCTATATCATGTCATTGACTTCATCAGAGAACAGTGGGTGTAAGGTCTCACTGATTCATAGTCATTAAGCAACATCCTGAAATCATCTCCAAGTATTTTATTTGAAAGTGGCTGAGTGAGTTCCAGAGCCAGGCAGAGGTAAATAAAATTCTTTCTTTGCTATATTGAAGAAAATTCTGGCACTGAGCAAAGACTTATGCTGCATTTTACAGCAGTTGTTTCGTTGAATCATTTGCTTAATTTTTATAGGAGCAAGGAAAATTTCAGATGATATTTATATATAAATCTTCTATGAACAACACAGTTATAATTGATTAGGGCATATCATGTTTATATATGCATAATGGCTTGTTATTTGAGAATATCATAATTATCTAAAATCAGTTAAATTATGAAATGAACAAAAACTGATAAATAAGATCAACAGAATGGATGAAAGCTATAAGAAAATTAACATAGATATAATAGAACAAAATATATCAAAATGTATTTGCATTTATTGTTTATTATTATAAAGTCTTGAAGTAAGCTTCTGGATATGCTTTGAGATTTTCTTTACACTCATGTGCAAGCAAAAATAAACTATAAAATTACAATTTTGAATGAATTCACAATCGTTACATCCCATCATCTGGTTGACATAATGATGATGTTTTATAAGTTGGTGTACAACTTCTGACTGACTATATATAAATATGCAGGATATATGAGGAAATACAGTATATCATGAAATGAAGTACAGTATATCTATTACAATGAAATGATATCGAAATTTTAACATTTTTGAAAAGTATATTAATTTAAGAACCACAAAAAGTTTGAAATTTCTTTTTGTTGTTAGAAAATATATTAATTTTTCTACTTTCATTCAATGATAACTATGGTTGCCAACTCTCCTGACTTACCAGAAGTCTGTCAAAATTTTGCAAAAATTTTAAAATTTTTTGACTCCTGAATTAAGTCCTAGTCTCTGTATTTACTTGACAAGACATTCAACTTTCGGAGTATATATTAAACAGACTAAAGAATATGTCGTGGCATTTTGATATTGCTGAGAGAAAAAATGTCAAATCTCAAAATTTTTTATTCCTAGAATGGAAAATTCCCAGAATCAATTTTTCAGGGGCTGATAAGTTTAATGGTAACATTAATATAATCTAAATAATAACAGTGAATTTCTTTATAGATTTATCAAGCCTAAAAAATAGTTTATGTTTTTATGAAAGGACAGCTGCCAAGATCTTCTATGGGCACAGGGATAGACTAGGTTCTTTTATCACTTTTTTTGAACAAATGAAATATGAAGAATGTTTCTTTATTAATAAAAAGCAGTCTTAAAGATTTTATTTTTTTGTTATTTATTTATTTACAGGGATAGGAACCACTATAAACCCTAAATTTTCTCTGTGGTCTGGGGAAAAATCCAAGTCCCCCTCCTTCTCAACAGTATCTGTAACTTATATCTATAGATAAAGCTTCTTTCTGCTATATCTTAACTTGTATCTTTTTTTTACTTTTCTCTATAGAAAAGTAAAAAAAGATACAATTGTAACTTTAGGAAAACAGATTAACTTTTTTTATTTTTAAAAATTACAGAAAGTGTATAATTATTTCATGCTTGATGTATATCTATACAGTATATCAAATCTCTTAATTATTTTTAATAATTATTATGACCTACTTATTTTATGTTTATTTTACATTATACGCTATCTGTTATTACAACTATTTTGTTTTCATATATTATTTCATATGAAATATTTAAATCTTTCATTTTGCCTGCTGGATAAGTGAGGCAGTTAAAGCATCAGCCTACCACTCTGGGGACCCAATAAAATCCAGGTAGTCAGAAAACTTCAGGAATTTTTTTGGGATTTGTTTTGGATATATCAGGCAGTCCCATTGTGATCTGACTAAATTTAATACGGGCCTGTAAAAATGGTTCACTTACTATCTACATAGCGGGAAGCAAAAGTGAAATTTTTCATATGTTGTAAGTTATCGATACTATCATCTTAATGAATTGTAGAGTAAAATATATATATTTACAGATTTTAAAAATGAAAAATATTTTGAACTTTATCAAAAAATCTAATTTACCATACAATAAATAAAGACAAATTTAGTAATTTTTATTCTGTTTAACTTTGATTACTATTTCTATAAAAACATTGTGATACTAAGATAATGAAAGTATGGTAATCATATAATTAATTGCACATTTAAGAAAAAAATTATGTACAATATAATATTCTTTATTCAATCACAAAAACAAATTTCAAAATTAAATTTTATCAGTGGTGGAACTACAATTGTACAAAGTGGTTTTACTAAACTAGGGCCTGGAGTCATCAAACACAAATGTGCCAAGCAAAAGCCTATGACCCATGATCAAAACATCATGGTTTTGATATAGCTATGTTTTTTATTGATAAATTTTGAAAAATCCATGAAAGAGAGACTCCCAGAAAAGACTAAAACATGTTATAAATAAAAAAATTTTAAAATGCATCTTTACATTCTGTTCTTTCTCATAATCCTAGGAACTGATAGTCACTCAATTTATAGTACTGTACATCTTGAGCTAAAGAATACCATCAAGAGAAAGGTCCTCACTGCGCTTTTCTGTCTCATTTCTTGCAGCTGAGCATGGATTAGGAGGAGACCTGTATCAGAATTTTAAATCACAGTCCAAAGTGAAGTTGTTCTGCCACTGAATTTTATGCATTTATAAATAGGCAAAGAATGACGGTGATATAAATTAATATAATATTGGTTATTAGTTTTAAGCTTCTAAAAACATTTTGTTGTCATAAACATCTATTACATGTTCTGATAATATGTACTGTATAATAATTCTTTATTTATTATAAGCATACTAGGTATCATTTCAATTTGTTAAAGTTTATTATAAGCAAATTATAATAATAAATTTATCAACATTTCATAACCGAATCTGCCCTAATATTCTTTAGTTTATTGTTTCAAAGGTTAGTTAAAAGCAGTCAATATGCATAGTACTGCATTTTATAATAATAATTCTCACAAAGTCCAAAAGGTAATCTCTCAATAAAAATCAACTACAAAATGCTTTGTCAAAGGTGATAACACAAAGTATAAAACAAACTACCATACACAAACTTTTTTTGTAAACACATCTATCATCATGTTAATTGAATTTGTTGTTGAACTCCTGATGACAGTTATGTTTACATAAAACATTTGGGCTTACTTTATTTTACATTATCCTAGCTGCAATAAATCATTTATTGGATAATGTTAGAAATAAATTAAAATTTTTTAATAAAAATATAAATTATATATTGTTTCTGAAATAGACAAAAATACATTATATTTTTTGCATTAAGCAATTTGTTTCATAGAAATTGACTAAATTATTTAAATTTTAAAATCAGAAAATAAATACAGTAAAATCTGTGTAAACTGGAATCACAAAGTACCAAATATTTTCAGGTTTGGCAGGTTTCTGTTTTGAACAGAATTTTTTTTCTTTATCATAGAAGATTGCTCCATTCTGAAGAATTTTTCCATCTTATTCAGGTTCTGGCTTACACAGGTTTTACTGTACTTTGAGTTGAAAATTGTTTAAAATTTTTGGAAATTTACTTTTCATAAACATTCTAAACTTGTTAAAGTTCATATTAAAATTAAATAAAATACTGTCAATAACTTATGTAACTTTCAATAAATTTTGTTGTTGCTGTCTCTAACTTTTATTTTACAATATTTATATATAAATATCAGAAAATAAAAATAAGATAAAGCATAATTAATTAAAATTTTTTCTTCCTTTTTATTATTTGTTGTGAATTATTAAAGTTATAATAAAATGGATGTAAGTGATTAAATATAAAATTAATTGTAATCTTAAAAGTTGTCCATTTTTATAATATTCATATTTATCAATTTTGAAAATAATACTTAAATATTATTCTTTTAGAATAATTCTTGGTTTAAAACATTTAAACAAATGATCTTGGAATTTTCTTTAAACAAACAATAAATGCTCATTAAAACAACTTCAGTAAACTTTCCAAAATGCTGATAATTAGTTTCTTAAAATATCCAGCAAATATATATCCTTAAGCATTCCATGTAATAATTCTTTGTTTAGATAATTTCTAAAAAAAGTAGAAATTTATTTATTTGAAATTGTTTAAAAATTTTTTACTTTTGATAATTTTCTTATTTCTTTTAGTAAGTTCTTCCTATTTTCCATTATTTTCTTACCATTATGAAAATATTCTAAAAACAATATCTCTTTCAACAATAATAACTTTAGTTGAATGAATATACAGAACAGTTTAAACAATGAAAATAAAATATTTTCCCTATTTAACTTATTGTTCTATTATATACAATAGGTCCTGCCTTTTTTGTAAAACAATAGCCTTGTCAAACATTGATTCAAGCAATTTTAGTGATTATTTATGTAAAGTATCATCTAGTGTAGGGTGTGCCATCAAATTTGATCTGGTTTTGTCTAATTGTTTTCAAATTTTCTCGAATTCTTAAACTGTTCAAATAATATTTGAATTTTGTGACTTTGAAACATTTAAATCAGATATTCATTTAAATTACACA